AAACTAATACTACAATCTCCTTCAGAAATTTGGGGGCTTTGAGGAGATTATTTAGGGAAAACAAATAAAGTAACCGGATTTTTAAATTTTAGTGTTCACTGTTAGTCATTTTTCTGCTGTTGAACTATTTGGTAATTTCACTAAATCTGAGGTCAGCTGTTGGGTTGATAGAAAACAGTCCCTGTGTATGTAGACACAATCTGCTTATCGCTCATCTCCCTCATCTTCTGCCCTGTATCCTCTGAGGACCACATGTTCAAACTGTATGGGCTTGAGACTGTGCTTTCATTTGATCCTTTGGTTTGCTTTACAGCGCTGAAAGAGAGACTGTGTCAGTGATAACACTTTAGAGATGTTACTCCTTACTTTCTGAAAATCTGCTTTTCTTTTTTTTTTTTTTTAAGTGTCTTTTAGTTTCTTTTTCTCTGGAAAAAAATGTGATTTCTTAAATGATTTAAAACCTAAAAGCCACATATAGTTTATAAAAGCAGAAGCAGTCTTTCATTTGTCCAGTTTGTTTTCAAATGTTGATTAAAACATGAATTTACATGACTGCTTTTCTTCCCTTTGTGCTTCCTTTTCCTGTGCACGCCCACATCCATTCACCACACCGTAGCACAGTTAATAATGGAGATGGAGTAGACTGGAGCTACAGTCAGCTTCACTGACCTGATAGCATAATTAATCAAACTGTGTAGTTATTGGTAATGTCCAAATGATGGTGCTATTTCACAGTCACTAGACTGACTTTTTATGTAAGAGTAGCATAAACATTGGTCACACACAGGGGCCAGACCCCCTTTTTACCTTCACAACTGCCTCAGTTCTTCATGGCATAGATTCAACAAGATGCTTGAAGCATTCTTCGGAGATTTTGATTCATACTGACCTGATAGTTGCGTTCAAGCAGCCAGTTTGAGATGATTTGAGCTTTGTGACATGGTGTGTCAACCTGCTGAAAGAAGTCATCAAAAGTGAATAGATATAAAGGGATGGACAACAATATTTGGGAATACTGTGGCATTTAATTGATGCTCAGTTGCTTCTAAGGGGTCCAAAGTATGCCAAGAAAATATCCCCACACTATTACACCACCACCAGACAGCCTGAACCTCTTATAAAAGACAGGGTTTTTTTTTTATGTTTAAACCCAATTCTGATCCTACCAAACAAATGTTGAAGTAGAAATCAAGATGAGACAATTTTCCAGTCTTCTATTGTTCAATCTTGGTGTGAATTGTAGCCTCATTTTCCTGTTTTTAGCTAACAGAGAGGAGCGTGCTCTTCGGCTGCTATAGCTCATCTGCTTCATCGTTCTGTGTGTTGTGCATTGACGAATGCTCTTCTGCATAGCTCGCGTGTAACAAGTGAGTGATTGCCTGTCTTCCCATACCTCTGATGCTCAGCTTCCACTTCAGCAGGTCACCCTGACCACGTTTTCAAGCTTTAAATGCATTGAGTTGCTGCCATGAGTGATTAGAACAGGTGTATTTAATAAAGTGACCGTGAGCATATAGTTTTCATATATATAGTTGTACATATTATATATTTGACAAATTAAAAGTTCAACCACCTGAATTGGACAAACTGAATTCAACTTTATTCCAAATACAGGTGTGTACTTTTATTTATCTATCTATCTATCTATCTATCTATCTATCTATCTAGATATTTAAAAAAAAATCCAACTTGATGATAGATTCAGGCTTATTTTGAGCCAAGTCATTTATGTTCTTCCAATTAACCCATTTATTTTTCTACATCTCACAAGGTACAAAGAGTGAGGCAGAGCAAAAGCTGGATTGCCTTATTCAGCCGGGATTTCATGTAAAATGGTTACAGGAAAGCAACTACACTCTGTCATGCAATAATGTCCTGTGTCAGCTCTATACTACCCATCTCTATCTGCATCGCTGCACCTCACTGCACAAAACCCAGCAGCAGCAGGGCCTCTGATGCAACACTCACTACCCAGTAGTTCCCTCAGGACAAAGGTAAATCAGCAGCTCTCTCATGCAGTTGAAACCATGTCCACTGGAGCAAAAATGGAGAGCTGACCCTCAGTCTTTTAGAGATGGCTGTCTGTCATGAGAGCTGCTGAATGTTATTGGCAGCCCTCTCTCAAGTGCATTGTATGCCCTCCCCAGGCCTAACGCTGCAGTAAAGGCTTGTTAATACATTATCTCCCTCTAGTGGCGGATGCAAGACTCTGGTGATGGTCATTGTCATTCTAGGCAGTGCATCCCCATTGATCTTCATTCAAAAAGATAGAACACTGCAGCAGTGGGAGAGTGCAACAGTGGAATAGAATGGACACATTGAGTACATGATCCAGTTTGTATTTAATCCACAGGAGGTTAGACGAAGTAAACACCTGACAAGAAAGAACTTAATAATACGTACATGTCAAAAACATTAGTAGAAATGTGTCCTGTTGATGTTCTTCCACCTGTGTAAAAATGTCAATGTTTTGCAATAGAAGAGATCAATCATTAATGCAATGCAGACAAGCCACATTTGTAGTGTTTATCATTTAGAAAAGGGTCAATGGGCAGGAAACTGGAACTTTAAAATATGAATCTACAGAGTAACATAACTGTTACTAAACAGAACACGTAAACTGCACAAAGACTGCAGGCAGTTTCTCCCAGAATGCATGAATTAATGTATAAGGTAATGGTGGTGATGAAATGTGTGAATTTAGAGTTGTAGTTTACATACATTCATTCATCAATGTTATGGTAATTATGGGCTTTTAATGACCACTTTGAACTGTTCTTTTTCCCGGGTGGGAATATACGCCATCAGATATATACATCCATCATGTTAATATTTGGTCTATTAGTAAATTCCATCAACATCCATCAACAAGCTTCTCGCATTTTGTGGTTGGATGTTTTACTACTCTACTTGGCAGAATTGTTCATTAAAATTGGTTGGTTTCCTGGCACAGACACCTTTTAAGCATAAATACACAAATATAAAATAGGGTTGAGTTCAGGGCTTTGGTATGTCCATTAGCGTGGCTTAGTTTAGCATTAGCTAATGTTAGCCTGCTTTTCAAAACCACTTTTGTTTTGCTTTTGTTCGGGTTGTTCCTGAACTTGCTTGTGATTATTGACCCAACAGTGTCCAAGTTTCAGCCGTCTTGCTGTTGATTCGAGGTGAAGAGATGAAGAATTTGTACCGTGGAAATGTGCTGATATACCTGAATTACTTGTACTTACATTTACATGTTTAAAATAATGGATGATCTTGGAATGTATTTTTGGAAATAGCTTCAAGAGACCTTCACAACTTCTCTAAATCTGCAGTTCTCCTTCTTATAACTTCATTGAGTTCCTTGCACTTCCCCATTGTTCCGAGCCTTGGTCAGTCGAAAGAGTGATGTCAAACAAATCCTTTGCATGCTGGAAAAGAGAAACTACCCTGCCCTTGCGGTGTTAAAAGGCTCTCGAGACCTTTCAGCACCACTTATTAAAAGTTTAAGTGCACATATAGATTTGGTGTATAGCTGTTAATGTGTACCAAGACACATACATTAATATATCTTAGTAAAAGCCATCCAGCAGTATGACTGAACATTATTTTTTTTACTTTAATCTAGTTATTAAGTCTTACCCCTGAAAAGATTGAGGGTTTTTTCCTAACTGTCCACATCGCTCTCAGTGATCTCCAGGCATATACCAAAAGGTCAATTTATCTTTTGCTGTCTCAGTGGCATCTGCCTTGACAGCTGCTGTTAATAAAAATGTGTCCTTTTCTCCAGGAAGATATTTAGTGATCATAAAGCATCGTATCAGATCAGTTACTCATTGATCTGTTCAAAAATTAGATTAATTAACAATGATTTACTACCTAATAGAAGGAACCTGTGTCTCTTTATGTGACACAGTGGTACATTTGTGTATATATATATATGAATTTGCTTCAAGGTCCGATGTGTTGTTCCTTCAGAAATGCTCTTCTGCATATGTTGATTGTAACGGGAAGTTATCTGAGTTACTGTTGCCTTCCTGTCAGGTCGAAACAGTCTGGCAGTTCTCCTCTGACCTCTGGCATCAACAAGGCAGAGACGCCCAGAGAATTACCGCTCACTGGCCATGTGATTGGCTGATTATATATTTGTGTTAACCAGCAGGTGAACAGATATAAAAGTCCCCCCTTTCCCTTACCGGATACTCAGGATACTTCTGCAGTCCCTTTTTTGTTTTATCAAGTTCATTATTGAGTTTTAAAGCTTTTTGCAGGATTGTTAGTAGTAGGAAAATCATCAGATGCTTCAAGTGGGCAAATAATCTTAGTCAGTACTACTTAGCAGCATGAAACTAACAATTTTCTGTAGCTGTAATATGCATAAGTGTGAACGGCATGCGCATGGGTGCATACATGAGGGTACAGTTCAAGCATAAATCAGCACTGCTGACAGGGGCACTACAAGACACATGAACAAGACTGTTCATATCAGCATAATGTAGAATATTGATGGCCTCCAGCTGCCTGTGGACACTTTGGATCTATCTTATATGATGGATGAGCAGTGATGGTGTGTGTAATTAGAGGAAGCGATTTTAAAGAATTGGCACACATGTGTGCCTTAAAACAGATAGCTGTCCTCCACATTAATTAATCTATCATGGATGTCACGCATTTAGCATGTGACCTCTGTCTGAAGAGGCCGTCTGCAGACTGAAAAAAGGAAAAGAGAAGCAGAGTTTGACTGTTTTGGACATTCCAGGTGTTTATTTCCCTGTCACAGCCTGCGGCCTGCTTTGTCCCTTTTCTGCGATTGTCTCCTGTTCTGTGTTTCTGTCCCCGACTCACTCTCGGTTTGCATCCCCGCACTGCCCCCACCTACCCCACCCCCGCCCTCCCTTAGTGTTGCTGGCTGCAGGGTTTGGCCTCCCTCCCTCTCTCTCTCTCTCGCTGTGCCACGTATGTAACCTAAACTGTGGAACGGCCAAGCAGGGATGGGCCACGAGAAAAGCTTTCCACAAGATCAGCCTGAGCCTCTGAAGTCTCCCTGGACCTTGTTCAGTGAGGAATGAAATGGGGGCTGCACATTCTCATTTTCCTCTCTGTACCGCTTCATTTCAGCCAGTGTTGTCCATTTCTGCAGCTACCTCAGACTTCAGCATTCCCTTACAGTTTTTACTCCCCTTTTATCTCCTCTTCTCATACGTCTTTTTTTCCCCCTTCTATATGCGTCCCTGCATGCTGTGGCTCTTTTTAAACCCCGAGTACACTTTCAATCTGTCTCTCTGTTAGATTTTCACCTCTTCACAGTGTATTGTGTTGCTGTAAAATGCTGTTCTGGTCCCTCTCATATAAACACAGACTCCTCCTTCACTCTTACTTAATGTCATTAACAGGTGGCTGTCCGAAATAGACGCACACACACACACAAACAGCAAGGCTGTCGCAGATACAGAGATGTTTTTTATCATGCTGGCAGGCTTGTCATCGTGTGAGTGGACCACCCTGCAGCAACTTTCCTTGCTGATTTAAAATTTGAAACATTTATGGAGCATGAGCTGGATGCTGTTGAGATTAAACGTGAGGTGTAAGCACAGTCTGGGGGCCAAACACCAGACACACACACCCACCCACCCACACACACACACAGACGGACGCACACGCATTAAATGGGCAACAGTGTTAACCAACCAGACTCCAACCCCCTTCACATCCCCCACCTCTACTCCTTTACACTCACTTTCCATAACTCTTACGTTCCTCTCTCCCACCCCTTTCCTCTCTCACTCTCTCTCTCTCACACTCACTCTCACATCACTGCTCTCCCCCCTCTATTAAGTTTCATGCTTCTCTACCTCTCGAACTGAACAACACACACGACACAGGTCAGATTTATTCTTCTTTTCAATCAAGTGCATTAGCCAGCTGTTGCTTTCTTACGCCCACGTGTCACACAGGTGGCGGTGGCTGTCACCGGTCAAGCGGTAGAGAGAATTTCTAATTTTCACGACAGAAAATGCAGCATGAAGTTATATCCTGTGTTCAGACGCTTTAAAATTTAGGCTACCACACCAAAGTGTTCATTGCATTATAGTATATGTCTTTGTATACATGCTCTATATACCCTGCTAAGGATAATCCTTCACTTACTGCAAAGTAAGCACTTGTTTGTGTCGCCCACCCTGAGAGCAGCTTGGCTCCTCTGAGCCGTCTGATCACACTGTGGTTAATATGAATGTAATGTGATCAAGGTTTGTAATTCTATGACCACTAATTTGGCTGTCAGCAGCTGCAGTATTGATGTTCTTTATTACAGTTAATGTTGGAGGGTTATTTTAATGCACGGTTGCTATTCCATACCTTTGGTTCACTAGTGACACGTATGTATCTGCCTTTTGTTAGCTATAAAATGATTTTTACCCCAACTGTCACTTAGTGCTTGTTGATAAGCTGATATTATTGTTTATTGACATTGCAGAACCATCTTCTCATGCTCTGTGTAAATGCTGTCTGCTCTTACTGAATTGTTATTATTGTGATTATTGCGGGGCAGACGACATGCAGCACGACTAAATGACAATGAAATGTTTTTTGTTACATGTTTATTATGTTTATTATTATGTCTCCTCACATACTACAAAGTATCAAAGACAAAGGCTTTGCGGTGAGACTTTGCACATGTTGCCTAAATAAAACCTCTGATGCTGTCAGCCCAAAGCTCTGAATTAGGTGATCCGCCAACTGTGCGTGGCCTGCTGGTGCTGCTTTCCTAACTGGCCAGGCCTCTCGCCTCCACTCTGTGACCTGTTGGACCTCACAGCAGAGTTAATTACTATAGCCCCCTCTCTCTGTCAGAGGGTCCAGGATTGAATTATCACCTCTCGTGCAGACCATCGACACCGTTGTGCCCCGTCACTCACTTTGTTTAAATCGCTCCAAAGGTTCCTCGCTCACAGTTGAAAGTCTCTGTAAGCTGGGACCAAACTCGTGCTGAAGCACACATGTGCAAGTGCACAGCCGCTGCTACATATTCCCAGTGTTCCCGGTATAAGTAATGCAGCCTGAGAGGTATTTGTGGCAATCCATTATCCCCTCAGATCAAAGGGGATCTGTGTCTAAGCCAGAGATAGTGTACCTGCTCAGAGAGACGATGGGTTGTCAACTCATCTGAGAAACTGGAAGCTGGGTGGTCCGGTGAGACACTGTGGCGTTATCTCTCACCTTGACCTTGCACAAACCTACTTCCAGTCGAATTGTTTCTACATCTCCTGCAAAATCTGCCATATGGCTTATCTATTGTTGGCTGAGAGCATTTCATATGGCTTTTAGGGAGGGAATACTGTAGATGCTGATAAAACTGTTGGAAATTAAATATTACGCTGGTGATGAAAGGATTTTGCTCTGGTGAAGCATATGCTGGCTACTCTTTCATCTTTCTGTTTCATCTCTCTTTTTCAGAGGACTGGACGGAAAACAGACAGACAGCTCTCCTGGTCCTTGCCTCCATCTATCCCATTTTGTCATTACCTCACTTCATCTGCCCCCCTCTCCACTTCACAGTAGTTCTATTCATATCTCTTATGTCCAGCCCATTTATTTTTACTTGATCTTCTCACTGCTTTTGCTCAATTTTCCCCGTCCATCACAGGACAGCTGATAGCTCTCTTGCAAACTTTCGCCTTCCGAACCTAAAACATCTCATTATTTGATTCTAATTAAAACACTTTTCATCTATTATCTGCTTCTCTAATCTTCATTTGAGGTGTCCCGTCCCATCCCCTGTACTTCTTCGGTTCTGGACACTTTAGATCAGTATGTGGTCCAACTTTTTTATACAACAGGATGAGGAGGGTCGCACAGGGGTGGCAGGACAGAGTGGAGGTTTGGCTGGAATGAAAGGTGGTAGAGGACAGAGGCGGATCCACAAGCTGAGCGACAGCCAGGAGGGAAAGATCAAGCTGGCTTTCTTTGTCTCTATCGTCGGTGTGACCCTCACGGTGCTCGGCATGGGGACAGAGTTTTGGGTGGAGCTGGCCCAACCAAAGAATTTCAGCGGCAACCAGACCTGCCAGATGGCCCATTACGGCCTTTGGAAGGGCTGCATCCGCACCCTACGGGTGGATGAAATAGACCCAGAGAGGACAAGCTGTGGTCCTGCTGATCTACCTGGAGGTGAGACCTCAGAGTGGTGTGTGTGTGTATCTGTGTGAATTTGTGTAAATCTGTTTGATCTGCACAAGATGAGCTGGTGAGTTTCTGCAGGGACTATTTTGTGTTTAACTCCCTGTCTGCTTTCCTTGCAAGTCTGAATTGAAGCTGCCACCATGTTACAGTATGTGTATCGCTATCAAAGTGGATTAACAGCAAGGGGTCAGAGACTGTTTGTGGAAAGAAGTTGCTGACATCACCCTTAATCACTGCAGGTTTTCTGTGCCATGACAAATGTTGTAAAATAAGAGTGAGCTGTCATAGCTGATATAATGTATGCCCCCTGGGAATACATTTGTAGGTCTTTGTATCTGAACTCATAAGAGGCTGAAAAAAGCTCTGTTGCCACTTTGTTTAAAAAAGTCATTTGCATCCAACGCGAACAGTCTTCATTTTTCTGAGCAACATTTTTATGAGTTTTGATATAGATTTAAAAATAAATGTATTCCTTGTGTGTATGTACACTTGTGTGGATTTGCAAAGGAATAATGAGAGTTGGGTATATGAAGCCGCTTGTGTAGATACAATATGTATCTAGGTCACCCTACAGATAATGTGCAAATTGAATCATTAAAAAGTATAAAGCGTGAAAATGCATTCAAGTGCATAAACACAGTGGTGCTTTATCAGTTCGGATCCTGCTGGACCAACACACAGCAGCATGCAGGTACAATATACAGCATATTTGTTGGCAGTCATAACACGATCTGTGTAACAGGGCATTATTAATATTAAGATTTTCTCCTGACTAAGCATCGAATCACCTCCTGTTTTACCAAGAGTGCAGACAGGTGATAAAGGGGCAAACCAGAGGTTTATTGTGCTGACGGACATCCATGTTTAGAGTAGTGACAGGTTCTTTCTAAAAGCACTTTATTCAACTTGACCATGGTTATGTTCTCCGGAGTGCGCCGATTATCTGCACAATGACCTATTTCTGTCTGAAAAGTGAGTCTGGAGATGGAAAGAGGCAGGTACTGGAGGAGAAAGACTTGCTCCTGGAATCACACGTCTCATGGATTCTGCCAGGACCCAGCAGCGGTCTGAAGAAACCACAAAGTCTCTTTAAATTTCAGAGACACAAGTGGTTCACATATACAACTTAACATGTTGTCATCACCTTGAATGATCCAGTTTTCAAGGATAATTTATCTATCCTTTGCTAATTTATCTTTTGTGCCTCTTTGACTGCTTCGAGCTGGCAGATATGATTCCAAGATGCTCTGTTGGTGTTTGAGAGAAGCCAGTATGCTTCTGACAATCTTCATCACACGTCCCAACACTGTTGGCCCACGCCGCCTGTCACAGATGGCCGTGGGCTCATCATGTTTGCAGGAAAACAAATGTTTTTGCCTTCTATGGTTCCCCATTTCACATCCCTGTTTACATGCCTCTGGCTCCCGTCCCGCTCAAAGTGCGGCCTGACGATGCCGTGTCTGTCATCCCGAGACCAGCTATCCATCTTCGCTGCCTGCTGGAGAGAAACATGGCGGCTCAATAATTACAGTCTCAGCAGGGGTAGTGGGAGCAAAACCAGTTGACTGTGATAGCATAATGTGTTACAAAATCAGTATGGTTGACAAATAGACGATCTGCTTCATTAAAAAATGTTTGCAAATGCCCTCAGCCACAGCTATATTTGTGTGGTGAGGAAGGATGTCAGAATATGTGTGTGTGTGTGTGTGTGTGTGGGTGTGTGTGTGTGTGTGTGTGTGTGTGTGGGTGTGTGTGTGTGTGTGTGTGTGTGTGTGTGTGTGTGTGTGCGCACATGCACGTGGTCATCTTGGAGCACATAATTTTCAGTGGCTGAAAGTCATCACTATGCACTTGTGAAGCCAAACGGAATCTGACTACTTCACAGTTTTTGTCTAAATATAGAGAAGGGGAAACGAGGGGGGACAGACAGGGACCGAGTGAGAGTGTATAACTAATGCAGTATTAACTAACCCCCCTGTGTTTCTTCCCCCTCTTGACATCTCCTGCTCGCTCGTCTCACCTCCTTCTCCATCTGCGGCTACCCTCTCTCTTTCCCTTCACTCACCACCCTTCCATCTGCCAGCAACTCACTCCTCCTTTTCACCGCTCTCATCCTCTGAGCCTGTATCCATACTTCTCGCATCTTCCTCCTTCTTTTTCACCCAGCACATCCTCTTCCCGTCTTCTGTAGCCACGTCCCTTCATTAGCCTCCATCTGCCCCTTCTCTCTGTCTACCACTATTTCTCCCCTCTGCCATCCACCCTTAGTGTTTTGCTGTCTCTCACCCTCTTTGGCGGCACCATATGTGCAGTGCTGGAGTGTGCGTATGTGTGTGTGTTTGTGTGCGAAGAGGTGTGTGTCTCTGGGTATTCCAGCTAATGCTCGATATAAATAGGAATGATGCCTGGAAGGACAGAGTGCATGGATGCATAGTAGGCACATCAGAGAAGACAAGAAGTCGTCCATAGGAGAGTGAGTGTGTAAGTGCGTGTGCGAGCGCGTGGGTGCATGTGTGTTTCTTTGTCTGATCTCTTCTTTATGCCCACAGAATCCAACTGTACTTACTTCAAATTCTTCACCTCTGGGGAGAATGCAGTCATATTCAAGAAGACAACTAAGAAGAGTGAGATGTTACACCTTCCCCTGGACATACACATTAGCAGTTACACCAGCAGCTTCTTCTTTCAATAAAGATGCTCACTGCGGTGCTCACAGGACCGTACTCGTGGTTTTTGCATGTTTTAGACCATTAACTTCCACTGCCACCCCTTTTCCAAAGCAAGCCATAAGCTATCAGACTGATTAATGTGTTTGCTGTGCTGCCCAGGGAGCCACTGGTTTCAGTGTAGTTTGGAGATAAGCTGGATGAGAATTAATAGGCTACTTACATCACAGCAAACATCAGTCATTTTTATCTTTTGGTCGTAAGTTGTGAGCAGAGGCTGTTTTGAAAATTTGCTTGCTGATATGGTTAAAGAGAAGGCGGCATTTGACATATGAGCTGTGGGAAAGATTTGCTGTCAGTGGCTGCACAGTAGACTTGGACATAATCACACCAACAGATATGCACAGTCCTGTGAAAAATAAGTAAGGGTATACCACTTCTCAATCATAAGTCATTAGCCAATGAGCATATCCCATCTAACCCTTTCTGACTTTAATAGTGACCTTAATTTACAAAATGTACTTAGTTTTTTACTCAATATGACCCGAAACTAGTGAGTGAGCCCATAAACGTGTCAGTAAATTTTTTTACAGAGGTCAAATAGGAAAGGAAGCTGATGGTCATTTACCCATAGGCACAACCACAAATCTTCTTGCATCCAGAAGAGTCGAGTCGCCCCCTGCTGGTTATTACAGAAAAGTACATTTTAGGTTCTGAGCTACCGGGAAGCTAGCATATCTATTTTGTACTGTGTTTACGGTTTATGCTAACTTTGTGGCAATTTTTCAAAGCATAGATTCCTAAAGTGTTGACTGGGGCCCCCTGGTGGGCTATGAAAGTACTGCAACTGGGCCACAGTAATAACAGAAATTCTGTTGAAATTACTCACAAGTATGTAGAGTTACATACTTATATGATTTTATTTATTTGTTTAAAAAGAGAATAAAAAATGATAATAAGAGGTGGCTAGTCTGTGATGTTACTCGTTACTCTGACGGAAGGAATTGACCAACTATGACCATTCCTGTTATCTGCAATGCTTTTATTAATGAAATAATATCTACGTGCTGGAGAATCAAAAAACAAAACAAAAACAGCACAATTGGCACAGGCTATTTTTTGGGGTCGCACCTGTTCAGGTTTGGAATGCCAGGAAAATCTGTTTTAAGCAGAGCCAGTACAGGAGGCAGCACAGATGACATCATTTTTGTTCTTTAACAAAAATCCAGATTTAACCAGAATCCCAGAGGAATCAAACGTGTGAGGTGGTGTACCATAACTAGTTTCCAGACCTCACAATAATTCCTCCATCTTTTGTGCTGCAGATTTTTTTCTGCATGCACTTCTGAACATCTGCGCTTTATATTTTGTTATTTCTCGCTGCTCTCCCTCACAGGTCTGAATCTAGCAGCAGCTGTCTTGGCCCTTTTGAGTCTGACCATGATGGTGATGGGCTCCATATGCATTGCCATGTCGCTCAGCAAAGGAGTGCAATTCTTTCTTAAGCCAGCCTCCTTCTGCTTCATCCTATCAGGTGGGATGTGACTCTTTTTTAGTCATGCTAGGACAACATTTTCATGAGTATTTTAAGGATTGTAACTGCTGATTGAACTTTTAAATGTTACTGTTACTTTTTATCTTCTCATGCAGGTGTACTGGTCCTGCTCTCTGTCCTCATATTCCACCAGTCTGTGCTGGCCTTACTGTCCAGTGACCACTCCATACCTTTACACCATGAACTGTCCTGGTCTGTGGCCTGCGTGGGCTCAGCGGGAGGCATTCTTATTTTTGGAGGCGTCCTCTTCATCATTCTCGCTCTTCCTTTCAGCCCATGGCAGAAATGTTTTCCACACAAGAACAGCGACACCTAGCCCTCCGATGCTGCACACAGTATTCACGACGTCTTTGCTTATGAGGAAGGAGAAATTGATTTCTGACAGCTGTGATGTCGAGCTTGCTCTTGGCATTGGTTTTGCCAGAGAAGCCATACTAACTTGGTCTTAAATTTATGAAAGGGAGTCAACAACACATACACAACACAACATGGCCTGCAGAGGTAGATTTTGCAACGAAGTGCTTTTGTTCATTTTAGCATAAAATCGAATGACTGACAGGGCTACTGCTGACTTTTTTAGTGTTTACTCAAACCTGCGTCACAAATAGGTTTGTTAGTCCGCCCGTAGCTGTACAAACATATAATCCCAACCTTTATACTGGGATAAGTTGTGTAGATGCTTTTCTTTTTAATTGCTAAGACTTTTTTTTTTTGAGGTTTGAAAATGTTCATAGTCTGCTTTGTATGAAAGCTCACCTCTCCCTAAAAACACAGTTAAATTAGAATATACAGTGTAGTCCATGCCCTGGAGAAACTCTTCTTATACTAATGTTTTCTGATGTGACTATTGGCAAAATTACAATATTTAGCTGTGCATTTGAAGAATTCATTACATTACACCATAGTTTAAGTTTGATGAGGGCACAGTAAGGTTAGATCATGACACAAGTTAGAATGTTTACATGACCTAGATTGGTATAACAATAATTTAAGATAAGGGGAAAATGTTTTGTTGACCCACACACTCACTCATTTCTCATGCCTACTAATGTCAACTGACTTTCTGATCTCCGCTTGCTGTTCTTGGAAGAATGTGACACAAAATAATGCAATAGCAAATCCAAATTTGGACTTTAATCTGTTCGAATTATAAATAAATAAGTGAAAACTTTGGAATCAGGCTGGTTAATATTGTTATTTTTTATTTCTATTTATATCATGCTTAAATTGACATATATCAACATTAAACAGTAGCAAATGCTTTGTTTTGATAGCGCTAGTAATCATATCGTGTACATGTTATATGATTACATGTACATGCAGGAAATTCTGTTAAGCTTTTTAAATCTTAATATTTTATCTGTTACTATTTATTTTATTACCTGTGTTTTACACTTGTGTAAATGCTGCTTCAGTGTATCAGATGAATGTAAGTTGAATGAAATAGATGAAACACTATGTTGGGTATCAGAGAAGTATGTGGGCATGCGTCCTCTGTATATAAAAGGATTTGTTTTGTGTTTTATGAATGGTAAATGCTTGTGGTGTTGTCTCTAATCACTCTATGTGCAATGCAGTAAATACAATTTATTTTTGTCATAGGATGCTAATGTCTCAAACAGGAAATGTTGGTTTACAGTATGTAAACTGTGCTCTGTTCTGCTCATATATGTACAGTATATGGCACTACTATTGGTTATTATTAAAACGATTTGACATAAAATAGCTGCCTTCCTTTGTTCTGCTGGCACGACACCATGTCTGCCCTCCAATTTGACATTCACCCATTTTCACCCCTTTGCAGCGTGACTCTTAACCCCTCTGCCAAACACCCCCCTCCCCCAGACTCCACTCCTCTATAATTAGGCCAGAGCTCATCGCAATGCATTTCACTGCAGAGGTTGGGAAACTTAATACTTGAATTTCAACTATGTACCCCTATCCTCATACCTATGCGGCCTCCCCGTCTCGTTCTGCAACCCTGACCTCACTGCGTCACTACCAGCATGCCACCCGAGTTTTTTGCTCCATCCAAAAACCGACTGATTATCTCAGAAATAACAAATCTTCACACTCATCTCTCTGGAGACTACTTGACATCCTGGCAGTCACATACATTCCCATGCATGCATGTGTGCATGTAGACTCACATGTTTTTACCTCCCCAGTGGGCAGAAACTGAATCCACATGACACACTATCCGGGTTGTATATATAGCTGTTTAATAGTTCTACTGAGACTGCATGAAAAGTGGTTCGTAGGCACTTGTTACGTGTTTGTATATGGAGAAATGCTTCCTGGAATTCTTTATGATGGACCTGTAGACTGAATGTGACAAGTAAAAGAGCATGAAATGATGAAGGGCTGTCATTATTGATTGTATATATAAATATATATGTAGCTATATGATATATATGATAAACTGTTAATGGTGCTTGTGCAGTCGATTTGTTTGCTTTGGCAGTCCCTCTCCTTAAATGTTTCATCACAGTCATCCTTATTGTGACTGCAGCTACGTTGCAGTAAGTATGATAATATGCAGGGAAAAACACTCACTAATCCTCAGGGGCTGGAGCACTTCTAGGATTCTCGGGCCCCTTGTCAAGGATGTCACTGCTTCCTCCTGCTCTAATGCATCTGGAGTATCATCTCTTGTCAGTAATGGGAGTCTTTGAGCTGCCACTCTTCTGCATCCCTCTGAGGAGAGTAGTGACCGAAACACGCCTTTACAGTATTTTGTAATCGTTCGTGCAAAAAATGTGCATGAGGTACCAGATGGGTCTATGAGGGGGGAAAAAGTTATTTGGAGGTAGGGCTCAGTGAATTAACTTTCAGTTGCTCTTCTCATTATCTTCTCTGGCAAGTACCACCCATCTGGCACTATCCATATATTTGCAAATATTAGGAGCCTCAAGACTGACAGGGAAGGTTGAAATCGTTTTAGGATCACAGCAAACAAAACATTAGCTAAGAGTCCTTGAGCCACAGTAACTACTAAGAGCAGTGTTTATGACAAACTGTGTGTGTTATTGACAAGTGGTGAAATATCACAGTTGCTGTAATGTACTGCACTCACTTTAAAATTCTACTCTACCAAATATTTATGGAAAATAATGCAATGATTGCTCCAATACGTCAAACAGTTAAATCTGGCTTTAGCAGATTAAACTGCAGCATTAAAATTGCGCCTGTATGTTAGTTAAAGGATGACGATAATAATCCTTCTTCTTCGTCTTTCGGCTGCTCCCTTGAGGGGTCTCATCTGCCTCCATCTCAGCCTATCCCTACCATCCTCCCCTGTCATACCAACACTTTTCATATCCTTCACAACACATCCATAAATCTTCTCTGTGGTCTTCCTCTTTTCTTCCTGCCTAGAAGCTCTATCTTAAACATCTTTTGTCCAATTTATCCGCTATTCCTTATGTGAACATTTCCAAACCATCCTAACTTTGCGTGTCTAACTTGTCAACTACTCAACCTAACTGCTCCCTCTGATTTTCTCATTTCTAATCCTGGCCATTCTGGTCACGCTTAGTGAAAATCTTAACATCTTCAAATCTGCCACCTCCAGCTCGGGCTTCCTGTCTTTTGGTCAGTGCCACTGTCTTCAAAACATAGATCATAGCAGGTCTTAATACTATTTTATAAACTTTCACTCTTGCTGCTATAATTCTGCCACTAACCACCCTGACACTCGTTTCCATCCACTCCACCCTGCTTACACCCTCTTCTTCACCTTTTTTTGTGCTCTATATGCTGCTTTGCATGGTATTTAAACTCACCTCCACCTTCACTACATCTCCTTGCAACTTTACCTTTCCTGTCTAGCTCTCATTCACACACATGTAGTCTTACTTCTACTAATTTACCTCCGCGTCACCAGGTTCTCTTCCACCTGGTCCCTACTCTTACTTCAAATCACATTGTCATCTGCAAACATCACAGTCCTCAGAGACTCCTGTCTGACCTCATCTGTCAAAATGTCCATCACAATCGCAGTATGATAATAATCCAACTATTTCATAACATAAAAGTGACAGAGGCCATCATGAGTACCTTTAGTTTTGATGCTTTAAGTAAATTTTGTTGTAAATACCTTATCTCATGGCACTTTTTTTTAGATTACTTTGATATGGATCAGAGTTTGTGAAATGGTCTCTTGACCAAACAGTTGAATATGCTCACATCATGTTCAGACTACTGGCTTCAAGACACGTTCAGTGGAGGCATGTGATGTAACGTGACAAACTGTCGCACAACACTTGGAGCTCTGTGACAGTCATGATGGTGTACAGATGAAAGCTGGGTTCTCCTCAATTTTTTAGCTCTCTAATGATACGGTGAAGTACTAACTTCATGTCTGCAACAATGTAACTGGCCAAGCTTTGGCATTTTACCATTTTGTCACTTGCAGAGTGAGCAGAAAAATGAATTGCTCTCCTTAGCTGTAATTGAAAAAATATATTTAAAAAAAATATGCAAATATTCGCTTATTTCAAAGTATTAAGTGCAAAAAAGGATCTTCTAGTTAACTCCATTCTCAGTCATGAACTAGACTGGCAGATCTCACGTTCAAGGTCATAGTTTGGTGCACTTCTGGGTGGTTTTCAGCAGCATTCTGTTTTTAGATTGTTCCTTACAAGTCCCACTGTGTCTCTTGGCACTTGTTTCTCTGCAGTGGGTGCTGGATTTCTTCCAATGTGTCAGAATGGGGATCCTTCAACTTGATTTCCCTTTTTGGGAAGTGGATGAAGTTGCAAGGAGCCAAATCTGGTGGTGAGCAAAGGTTGTGTTTGTCTAGCCAAGAAATTTTGCGCTTTTTAGTGCACTCTCAGCCAGCACGAGGTGTCACACTCGTATGCCCTACAGTTCAGAAGGTTTCTGTGGAATATTCTCCCTAAGACGTTACAGTAGAACTCCGTCTTTACAGCCTGTCCCTGGGGGCTGAATTCACAATGGTGAGCCCAAGAAAAGGAAAAGAAAAAGAAAAGATGAACACAGTCTCACTACTAATCTTGAAATCTGTAGACTCAACTCAGAACAGCTGAAAACCACTTGGTCTTACCCAGCACCCCAGCTTTCATAATCAGCAGTTATCCTCCGCACAATATTTAGGTGAGTCTGAAACAGAAGTTGATGATTGCTCTCAGGTATAAGGTCCATGACATCTGCCAAATTGCAGGTCACTGTGTAAGCAGTCTATAGGGGACTCTTGTTGTTGCTGTTTTCATAACTTTTTGATCCACTTATATGGACTGGAGAGTCTTAACTGACAGGAGTCATACTCAATGTGGCGTTTAGCTACTGTTGCCCATCTGCTTCAAGGTTTGGCATGATGCATGTTCAGAGATGCTCCTCTGCATACCTTTCACCTGCATACCTGCAGACCATTCTCTGTAAACCCTAGAGGTGGTTGTGTGGGAAAATCCCAGTAGATCAGCATTTTCTGAAACAGACTGACAACAGCAACCATGCCACTTTCAAAGTTACTTAAATTACCTTTCTTCCCCATTGTGAAGCTCGATTTGAACTTCAGCAGGTTGTCTCGCTGATGTCTGTATGCCTAAATGCACTGAATTTCTGCCATGTGACTGGCTGATTAGATACTTGAGTTGACAACATAATAAAGTGTCTATCAAGTTAATGCCTAATTAACTTGTTTTTGTCAACCACCATAACAAATTAAAATAAACTAAATAATTTTATATATGAGTGGCTTTGCACTGAATATGAACGGAATTAAATCTGAATCTTTATGATTCAACTGTGTTTTTTTCACAGCCTTCTACTGTAGCGCAACAATAAGAGAAAGAACATGAAACACAAATTAACTGCAGGACTTTTTTTTAGTACAGTATTTGTAAAATATTGTATTGCTTCATTTAAAATCAGAATATTCCACCTTTTTTTTCAGTCTACTTCTGAGGTTATACTGAACAACAAAAAAAGAAAAAAAAGACAGCACTCTGTAAATATTTCTGTTATTGTTTTTTTTATAAACTTCGTGCAATACAGTGTTTTAAGTTTATCACACATTTAGATAAACCATAATCATTTATCTAGATATATCTATTCTCAACTACATACTATTCATATTGCCCACATAAATGCTATCTGTGTGCATTTTTAATCACATTTTTTTTCTTTTTCTGAAATGAAATCAAAGAAATGAAAATAATCTGGAAGCATCTGGTCATTGTTTTTGTTTCTTCATTATACCACGTAGCAGGTGAATCCACAGTTTCCACCTAGATCTGCAGTCACTCGGGACAGTTTGGAAGAGGGTGGGATGGCTGGGTGTTACATGTGTCTACATTCTCATCAACATAAACAGCGCAGAGTTCAGACTCAGGAGTTACTGGGGAAGCACAGTGAAAGGAATCTTTGGGGAGCTTAAGGGGTTGTCTGTGGTGAAGCCGCCATTGGTGATAAAGTAGGGAAAACACTGATCGTGTGGCCGTAAATGGGCAGATATGGCGGGCCAGGGTTGGCGGTTGAAACCACCCGACAAGAGTCCAGGGACGGCACTGGGAGCAAAACACTTAAGCCAAACCGGCTCGTTCCAAAATGCATACCCATTTTGAACAGTGGTCCCGAGAAACATGTCTATAGACGTTACAAATATATGTATGCATAATTACAATGTACAGGTATCTTTTTTAAACCCTTTAACCCACATATACAGAGTCTTTTTCTTTTTTGCCACTGAAAATGATGATTTGCATGTGTCACTTTGGGACTTTTCATAGAAAAAATCTGCTTTTTTTTGTTTTGTTTTTCTCCTCAGGCAGCAACCTTCACCTGATTCTGTACAAATGTGTAATTCTATGTCTCTTTTTTTTTTTCCTGCTACGTCTGAGCAGAGGTTCTGTTAATGCCCAAGAACAAACATCTTCAACACGACTAGAGCTACAATTACTACTGTTCACACTGATTAGAATGGAAATAAGACTAACAGAGGCCCATAGAAAACTCAGACTCATAATAACAATGAAGTTGGTGAGCTGTCGCAGTCACTCACATTATTGTTGCATTTCTTTCAGTATCAATATTGGAAGACAATTTACAGTATTCACATCTGACTTCATTATTAATGAAAATCATACAACATTTGGGTTAAAAAAAGAAAAAATAATTATACAGGCTCTCATTCTCCCATGTTATTGTGTACACTCATGCTGGACACTGACATATTACAGCTCACTGTTAGTCCCAGTGGCTCTGCATGGAAGAGATTCACAGTAAAAGTCATAAAGGAAAAAAAATGTGAAAATTAAAATTTCATTCTAAATTATAGTGTTTGCACATACAGCTAGCCTGTAATAACTCTAAGAATAATCACAACAACAATTTTACATCAATGATGGCCTGGTTAAATTAGCGGTAATATTGCACAAAAATTATGTGAAACATTTTCATAATAGCCCAAGGTTAATTGCGTTTGATCATTAACAAAATAAATCATTTCTAGCACATTAAAATATCAAAATAGTTTTATTGTGAAAGTTCATTGTTGTTGTTATTATCGCTCTGTTATTACTCTTCTTTTTATCCTCAGTGAGATTGAGTAGACTAAATAACAGTGAACATGGAGGGAGAGATGTAGCGTTTTACCTGTCTGCCTGTGTTTCTACCTCCTGTTGAGCCTGCAGTGCTCCTTTCTGGCTTCCCTCTTTCTTTAATACCCATCCTCCTCCCTCCTCACCTCTCCCTCTAATACCCTTCCTCTACACAGGTGTTGTTTTTCTATTGAGGGTGTTAGAGTTGCTCTCCCTGTCTCCCTTCAGCCTGTCCAGAGTCCCCATCCCTCGCTCCCTGTCGACTGTGGATGAGGTGAAGGGCGGAGGGCCGGAGCCCACAGAGTTGGGAATTGGTGGATTGGAGTTGGAAGAATTGGAAGGGTTGTGGGACTTGAGTGATGGGAGAGTGCCGCTCATCATCACCCCTCCTCCCCCTACGCCTCCATCCTTTGGAAAGCAGTTGTGGAGCTGGTAGAGCGTGGCCCTGTCCACCGTTCCATACATGGGCGGCAACCCTCCCAGCTTGGGGTCACGGGACAACGTGTACAGGGAGATGTCTCCTCCAGCCAGGGCTGTGTGGGAGCGAGAGTGCGGGTTGGGTAGAGTGGACACTGAAATGGGGCCCTGGGAAAGTAGTGCAGAGGGGGGCAGCCCGAAGTTCTTTCCTCCACCTCCCCCCACAGGCGAGGGGTCTCGGGAGCGGGAAGGGTCGGTTGAACGGGATGAGGAGCGAGAGCGGCGGCGGAAGCGGTAGCTGGGCAGGCGGAGCATGGCGTGCGTGGTACTTTTGAAAATGTCGGTGCGAGAACGGCAGCGGAGCTCTTTGTTCTTCTCGATGTAGATATTGACAGCCAGCACCCCCACCATTTCAGCCATAATGAAGGAAAGGCCTCCAAAGTAAAAGGACCAACCATAGGAGTACTGCCATTTCTTATCCTCATCCTTCTTCGGAGAAATGTCCCCCAGCGCAGCTGAGATGTAGACAATCACACCAATTATGTTGCTCAGACCTGCGACAGCACAGAAATACGATATTTATAAAAGATGTACACAAACATGGGCCTGCATACAGTGCTAATACATAAATTTGTCTGACATTTGTTAATAAAAACAACAGGTAGCCATTAAATTGGCAGCGACAGGCACCCCCAAACAAAGCATAGAAACTGGTGTGCCACATGATATTCTCCAGAACACTGTTCACACATCTACCCTGCTAAAAAAAGGTATAACAACCATTTAAAACCAATCAGATCTCAATGAAAAAATGCAGGATATCTACACTGATATGGACTGGGTAATGCGTTAGGTACAAACAGATCCTATCTGTTGTCCTAAATGATGCAGGACTGAAACAGAATGTCCCAGACATTAAATCTACCAGATTTAGATCAAGTGATGGTGGGAGCCAGTTAATGGTATCAATTCCTTCATCCTCCAGGAACTGCCTCCATGCTCTCAGCAGATGAGCATTGTCATGTACCAGGACGATCCCAGCACCCACTGCACCAGCATATAGCCTGACAGTGGACCCAAGGACTATATCCTGATACCCAATGGCAGTCAGGGTGCTGTTGCCTAGCTTGTAGAGGTCCTTGCCTCCCTCCATGGATACGCCTCCCCAGACCATCACTGACCCACCACCAAAACGGTCATGCTAGATGCTATTACAGGCAGCATAACGTTCTTCTCCAGACCCTTTCACATCTCTCACGTGTTTAGGGTGAACCTGGTCTGATCTATGAAAAGCACATGGTGCCCATGATGGACCTGCAAATTCTAGTATTCTATGGCAAATGCTAACCAAATCAGGCTCCACAGTGCTGAACAGTGAGGACAGGGCCCACTAGAGGATGTCAGGCCCCGAGGCCACCCTCATGAAGCCTGTTTTAGATTATTTGGTCAGGCACATTCACACTAGAGGCCTGCTCTAGGTAATTTTTCACCCTAGCTAAATGCAAAACTAGTGAAAAAACAGTCAGGAAAAATAAGGAGGGAAAAATGTCATTTCCTCTAGGGGGTTGTCTCACTGTTGTCCCTCTGG